GTAGGTGTTTTTTAACTTACAGTGCTGCTATCATAGTGGAGTGCACAACGAAAAACTCACGTGAACCCATGTGTTCTGAAATTCTACAAAGCAGTAAATGAAGTAGCTTGAGGGGCGTTTCTAAGGCTGTAAGTGGTACTTCTGGCATACATTAACACTGCATTCTGGTCAACCGATAGGTATAATCACGCTCTCGATTCTTACCGAGGATCTTGCCCCCACCTTCTCAGCCTATGCCTGCTGAGATTAACAGTAGCGATTTTTTAGATGGTTTTTTTTATTTTTCTCAACTTCCTCCGATGAAGAGACCGACAGACTAGCGTACTGACCACCGCCCACATTGCGCTCACAATTTAGTAGGTATTAAACAGTAATAGCACTCAAGCACATCATAAACTGCGTTTATCTTAATCCGACAAACCCTATACACGTACTTTCAGGCGACGAAACGACGCCAGCTCTTCCGATTTCCATAGTGCTTGGCACCGTTTTCCACTTCTCATTTCTTCTTGTGGAACCATATGCTCTGCACTATACGGATGTTTTGATGCATCAACTGTTGGATTAGCTCGTGTAATGATCGACGTTCTCAGTTAACTACTCATCAACAATTCGATGGCGTCGAAACGCTTAATACGCAGTTTTGATGGCTGCGTTATCGTTGATTTATAGTCTGTATTTCATTTTGTCGCCTAGCATTTTTCCTGTTTTCTCAGTTGTAGTCGGTTTCACTTGTCAATGAACATTCCCTTGCCGTTGGCTACATTTACTGCTCACAAGTACACTCCATATCCTCGAGATGGGAGGGCGTGGTTGCGTTCTTCATTCTAACTTGGAGGCAGAAGCGCTTGTTGAGGACGTTGCAGTTTAGGACAATAGTAATCATTCCTTTGTCCCACACAAGGCAGGATGACAGTTGTCTCATATGGAAAGATCTCACTGTTTCGTTCACCATGTTCAAATGAAAGGCACTCAAAATCCCTGAGATGTGGTGGGCGCGACTGCATACTTCATCTAAACGTGGCGGTGGCTGTGCTTACGGCGAGATATTTTCATTTAGACAAATGTACGTCATGTCTTTGTTCATCACAGGACAAAATGACAGTTGTCTCAAACTGAAATATCCAAAGAGTCCATCCGATTGTCATATCAGATGCACGCCTACTCTGTCTTCAGGGCATAATGAAGTATATTCCAGCTACGCCTGCCCTCCATTCTGGAGTGATGGGTAAGAGAAGATGTGAAGGCGGGCATTCCCTAGCAGGAATGACGGCGGAAAGACGCGACTGGTCACACAATGGGAGAGAATTTTTGCGTAAAATTGGGATTGCAGTAAAAGGGTATGGATCTCTCCTTCAACATGTGAGGACACTGACTGACCTCGGGGTGCGCGCAACAAAAAATGGTTTTTAATAAGGAGCTCTCCAAATGAAACTTTCCGAAGCCAGAAAACAGAAAGGAGGAAGTGCATTATGAAAGGTAGCTACGAACGAGATCAGGTTACGGCGAGCGATGCTGCTAGACTTACGTGCGCGGCATTCGCACCAGCACCTCAAAGGTTTAACGAGAAGTTGCTACAGCATGTCTGGAATCTCCTAGCCGAGTATGTGACAGCGCAATCGTAACATGCCACGCGTCGTGGAAAGCGACGCCGCGCGCGGCACGGTCGAGTTGTCCTGCCCGGTTATTCGAGTCTACTATGTGTTAAAAGAACGAAAAAATTCGATAACTCTATTCACTCTCACTTCGCATTGCCTTTTGCCTTTGCTAGAATTCATATAGGTTCTGATGCTACAGTAGACGAACTTATGCGCTTTGAGAATTTGCCGCGTAGCCGCACGGTACGCCGCGCGCGATAAATCATGATTGTCTCGTCCGTCCCCCTTCCTAGCCTGCACAAGTAAAAGTCTTGTGACAAGAAATTTGAACTAAGAGTTCTGTCATTTGAGAATTCAAGACAGCAGGTCGTCACTATGCACGCACCCACGATTCAATAGGTGCAGAATAACATCACCTAGTGCTTTCCAAATAATCTAGAAACCATGATTTTTCATCTGAATAAACAATATAAAGAAATTTATGCCTAATATATCATATTGTTATCTGCGTGATCGTAACGGTCGTTTCAGTTTATTCCGGTTGACCGGCCGAGTTCTCTTGAATAGATCTTCTTCAGCCTGTTGTGGCTTGATCGGTGTCGGAGCTGAAATGAAATCGCTGAGAAAACAAAGCTCAAACCCTACAAATGAAAAGCTACGAAATTGTCAACCTGGTGCTCGAGGCTCTGAACTACTCGTGGTGTCATTGTTCGGCTCACGAGTTACAGTATCTCTAAAATGATATTGAAAGTAGTTATGGAGAAAAATCATTTTACTAGTCTACACTTACTGTGCTTCATCTGCTGCAGGCGCTTCAGGAACAGTTGCATCCGTGGCGCTCGAGGCCGGTGTCGACTTTGCTTCTCAAATGGGTGACATTTAATGAAAATTATTGTAGAACAAGTTGCCGAGCAACATTCATTCTTTAGGTGAAACGATTCCAAGCACTCACAGAAAAAAAGCAAAAGATTTACTTTGTCCTTACCTTCTACACTATGACTAGTTGCCCTAGATTTCTTCACCTTAATGTTAGGTTTCGCTTTTTCAAATGGTCGCTTGCGAACAGGCGACGGCCTGGGCCTGAAAAAGGACCTGTCAGCTCTCGCATATCTACAACTGTCGAGTACAAAACCAATCTGGCACTAATCACCGTTGACTAACACAGTTTTCCGATTTTGGGACAGAATAGAATCCCGATTTGTGTAGAGCCCAAGGGTAGAGGCCTGGCACCCAGCTAGCCAATATAGCAGACTGCCGAAAAAAAACCTGGCGAAGCAATCACGTGTTTCGACGGTCAGCTTCCTGAAGCTCGTCATTTACCAGCACCCGAAAGAGAAAAGTGTTCAGCCCCTGAAGTGTGTTTCTACTGCTACTCTACTACTACACTGATTAGAGCATTCATCAGCCGTACTTTTATGTCTGCTGGGGTCGTATTTACTGATTGCAAACAGTTCTTCCAGGCATACTTTGTCTATATCCACGATATTTCGGTACACAAAATCAAGGAAAATAAAAAAAGCAATTTGATAGAAACTTACGGTCTTGTTGGCTGGTTTCCCAAGTTTGTTTTCCCGCAACTGCACGCGTCAATCGCTAAAAGTAGTTAACACGCCATCTCAGGAATACTTGACAACCCTCCGTCCACCCTCCCCCGCGAACGATTACTCTAATTGCCCTGTATATGTAACGCCTAGCGGCGGCAATCAATGATCAACGCTTCCGATGGCTTCTGTCGCGCCGAACTCTCGGCGGTTCAGCGCCAAGCAGAGTGCGCAAGATAGTTGAGGCAGGAGGTGGCAGACTGCAAAGCCTTTCTGGTTCGTGGGCGCCCGGCAGATTGTTCGCTTGCTTAGGATCAGTTCTAATGGAGCAAGCAGATGATCGAAGCGGTAGCATGACGAGAAGGAACGAGGCAACGCGCCGCCGCGTGCACCTCAAACCATCTCGCCGCCTGTCCGCATCGCTAAGTGAATGGGAGTGTATAACGTTTAGGAGGCCAAAACATCCCTGCAATAAGTTCTCGGGAGAATTTGAGACGACCTAACGCACATTGGTGCCAGATCCGTTTGTTCGGGGGCTTTCCGCTCCTTATCAGCATATCGCAATAGCCGATATGCTGTTAAGGGGGGGGGAGGGAGGGAGACATTCCTGTCAACGGGTCAAACTAGTCCTATGGGTAAGTTTTCAGCCAAAGCGACCATTGGAGAAAAAAGTCGCTCAAATGTGGCCTGAGTTTCAAAGAGTGGGGCAGTAAATGGTAGATAGTGCCAAAGGTTTTGACAGATCAAAAAGGAATTCACTGGAAACGCACCCTTCGGACTTCAATGAACGAGAGGCGAGTGATGTCTTCGAATGCTTTACCCGTTGTAGATCGCCTCCAGAAGTAGGGGTATCAGTCTCTATGGGTGGTACGTTCCCATCCTGTCGATCGGCAGGGCTTGTGGTCAGCTTTGATGGAACGTGTTCAGCTGGCTCAGCTTCACGACCTTAATGTTGAACATATAAGGTAAACTCAGTGAGAAAAAAAATGCTAAAAGAACATACCACCATCTTCAGTGTCTTGAGAAGGGCCTGTTTGTTCCTCCTGATAGGCACTGTTCTGATCAGGAGCATTATTCTCATTCAACGTAGATGGCTGATCGTCGCGGTCATGACTTCCAGGGACCGGACCACTTTCGTGAGCTTCGGAATTAAGTTCATTCACTGTAGCTGCGCTCTCTCTGGAAGTAGTCCTGAAAAGAGAGGGATAATCCTATAGTATGAAGGCAACAACAGTAGATTGAGGTGTTCCAGTTGTGTCGCTCAAAAGCTGGCACGCTTCAAAAAAGTTTTGAGCTTAGGTCTAGATCGCATAATAAACTGAGATCATCCAGAGCAATGCAAAGGCAACCTTCCTAGCTTTACAAAAGATGCGCTGAAATTTGATATCCCGCTTCTATTTTGAGAAATTGCCAAGATTGAAAATGAATCCAACATATCAGGGCTTAGATGACCCCAAGACTCGAACAA